TTGAAATCAACTTGTACGTGGGCTGGAAGCATCCCCTTAAAACTTCAACCTCGCAGCTTTCTGGTTCCCGTTTTAGAGGTTTTCTCTGGTAGAGAAGGAAGCGGGAGGGGGAAGGCAGGAAGGCAGAGGGGGAGGGGAGGCGGTTATTGACCGGAAAAACCGCGACTGGCGGCAAGAATTGAAAACGGGATTAAGGAATTTGTGAGGAGAGGGCGCCGAATGGGTTTTTTATAAAAGTTTCAAATCTAGCTACCGTGCACGCACACGTCACGTATGCAGTAACGTTCACACTGGCAGTGCCAAATCGAAAACTAGCCAAAGAATCGCTGAAAATTTGGCAGAATATCTGTCGTCCGTCGAGAATATTCTGAACAAATTTCAATTTGCACTTGCGCCACGACTTAGAGCAGTTCAAAGATATTTGTAGCAAAATGACTGTTTTACCTATTAGCCATTTTGCGAGGCTTTGATTTTGCAGGGTATTTTGTATTCATGCGTAGTCTTAATTCAGTTTCGAGGCTAAAGCCCCTGCGCGCGGACACGACAAATGCTCAACTCTACTGCAAATTCAAAATCGAGTCAGTTTGCGGATTTCATAATTCTACTGCGCATTTTCAAATTTGCATTTTTTGACGAATAACGAAAAGACCAGTCTTTATGCAAAATCGAAAATTATTCACGCTGGAGGAACACGCAACTCCACATCGCAGTGCAATCATCCTAACCAATGACCTTTCCTTCCTGTATCAAGAAAGCAAATTTTATCGTTTAAAATATTTGTTGTCATCCAACTGGGATTAAAATTATTTGTCATCCAATCTTATCACCTTATCACGCGTCGTGAATGACCTTAGGTCTGGACATTGTTTTTGTAAATAAATCAACCCTTCGTAATAAAATGCACTGTTTTCAACTGATCCACGTTATTTTCCTGAATAGGCAGCCTTGAAATAATTATCACTGATTGTGGTGGATTTCTTAATTTCGTTCTCTATATTTTTAATAAAAAAATGACAGAAGAAACGAAATTTGGACCTCATCACAAAAAATATAAGAGGATTTACACCTCTGGAATGCTAAACAAATCTTTGTCGAAGCTTTAACAAAAGCAGAATAAAAATTTTCGTTTTACTTCTTGTTCGGACCCACGGTTTTAAAGGCAACAAGGTCCAGACTTCTTCCAATCAAAGTCTGTTTTCAGTCACCAGAAAATAGGGGAGCAGGATTGAGAGCTGCCGTTCTTTTTTGACTACCGAGAAGCCACCCGTTCACGGACAACTCGAAGCCTTGTGCCCTCACAGACCACTGGAAGCATTATCGCTGGTAGAGAACTGGAATAGCGCTGTAAAGGACTGGAGTCTTAACAAAGATGGACGAAAACCGCTTAGCGCCAGCCTTCGTAGCCTGCTGTAAGTCCTAACGACAACTTATAGTCTCCGCACAGGAAAGTTTTTGTTCTCCCTGATAACTGGAAACACTGAGAAAATAAAAAGTAAGGCTGCCATCTTTTTTAGCTGGCTCAGCTGCCCTTCCAGATGCCTATAGGGGAATCCAGCCGAGGCATTTTTAAAACAAAAAGACAACACCAAATACAGCATAACAAAGGATCGACATTTTCTTCACTGAAACGCCATAATTTCATCAGTTTTTTATTTCCAATTTTTTTTCTTCCTCAATTTTTCTTCCTCAGAAAATTTCCTCAATTTTTTCATCTTTTCGTGAATGTAAATTCATGACACCAACTGACTGGGTTGCATGTAAATTTGTTCTTTCCACATCTATTTGGCACCTTGACTAGCTGTGGTAAAAACATAAAGTTTTCTTCTTTCTGACCTTGACTCTTCTGGTGTTTCCTACCGTTACT